CGCCCGTTCCGCCTAGGTACACCCCCTCGCTGGCTAAGAGCACATTTTGACGCAACCCACAGGACTTTAGGGGGCAAAACATACATAAACAATACAGTCAAAAGTCTTTAATCCGGACTCGTCGGGACTTCGGCGATTCCGGATTATAGATCATCAGTTTAAATCTGGTAAGATGGCATGCAGAAATTATAAAATTAAAATATAAAACCGTAATTTATAAAATAATGAGCAATTATGATCTAAAACGCGTATCAAAAAATTTACCAAAAAAGAAGCCTAATATTTATTTGTGACTTTATTAAAACATTTTCTTTCAACGCACGGATGCGTAAAGCATACCTTACGCATAGCCGAAATTAGAAAATTGCAACCAGAAAAATATTTGATTTGTATTCGTGGTATTTATAATGACGAGGAATTTGATTTTAAATCATATCAAAGACGGAGTACATCGAAATTAAATACTACATTTAGTAAGGAATTATAAGCCGAATAAAATAAAAACATCTGCTCTGAAGATAACGATAGTGTTGACAGCAGCGTGAAATTGATAAACAGATTTCGGAACGGTTAGATAAACAAAGAATATGCCTTTATCCATTTTTTGTAGCAATTCGTTTTTTGTTTGATGGACATCGAAACATACTTTCGTTTTCTAGATCCTTTGAGAGCTCCAGCATCGGAAATTCTATTTGACATAATCAAAAGTTCAAGCTTACTTTTAGAAAATTGCTCTTACAGTCTGCAAAAAATAATAAGCCGGATCCAATTCGAAAGATTAAGGAACAACGCAATCATCAACATTAACTGAAATAGATAATTAGATAATTTTAGCTTATACCGTCCGTTTTATACATTAAACGCGCACGCGCGAAAACGTATTTGCACTTGCGCAGACGCATATGCGCAGTCGTAAATGTCTTGGGCGCACGAGTAAAAAACACCTATGCGCATGCGTCAATGCTGCGCATGCGCAGAAGAAAGATGGTTTAGCTTTGAGGTCCGGATTATGGGTGTCCGAATTAATGACTTTTGACTGTACTAGTAATATCACAAAGGAAAGAAATCAAATCTATGTTCATTTTCTATCTGGAATTTAAAATTTGGTACTTGAATCACTTTTTTTTTTTTTTTTTTTTTTGGTTACATTTTGTAATTCAAATATGTTTACAGCTAAATATTAAAATTTCAGACTGACATTTACTTCAAATAATACTAACATTTCAATTAATCATTAAATAGCTTGAAAGAAAGCTATTTAATGATTAATTGTCAAATAAACAAAATATTAAAGCTTTATTTTTAGAAACAATTTTCTAAGTGAGACTAAACTTTAAAATAATAACAATTTGATCTATTTATTTTTCATATTAATGAAATTTTTTGTCGACCTGTAAATTAAAATACATATGTCTGTATGTAAATAATTATAAACATCTTTAATTATTACTATGACCTGACACTTGATGACATTTTGATTCTGATAAAGTTTGTAACCTGGGAGAAATTTTGCTGCAGTTATCTTCATTATAGATTGTAGATGCTCAACAATTAATAAATTTCTTTTCTAGTTAATTTTTTATTAATTTTGCATTTCTTACATTTCTTACTGCTTGCTGATTTCAGCGTTCATAACTTGAGACACCATTCATCATCTGAGGCAATATTTTTTGTCCAGATGATTTGCTCGTGAAGTAAAGCATTTGTTATCCTAGATTTCACTAATCTTTTTCTTAATTTAAAAAGTCTGTATCTGTAACCACAAATATGTGCACAATATTAACAACATTGAGTTTCTAAAAAGTTTGAACTTTTTAGAAAACATTTTATTTTATTCATCTACAATTCTTGTTTTAAACCATATGTAAATTTATTCATCCCTTTCTATATTTTTTGGTGCAGATTTATCATATTTCTAATTAAATCTCTGGTTGATCTTTACAATATGGTAACTGGTAGTTTGGCGACATTTTGGAGGCGATAAAGGTTACTACCTGGGACTTTGGTAATAATGTGAGCAGTACTCAGTTCCGATTACGCATTATTTTGCGTGAGGGAAATGAGAGATCATGGGAGATGTCATGTGATATTAATGGACGAATTACGGTTCTTTAATCGGAAAAAAAAAAAGGGGGGAAATCGGGAAAAAAATCTGGAAATTTTGTATTTAGCTTTATTCTGTGTTGTGTGAAAACGTGTTTGTTAATTTTTGGATCCCATGGCCCTAACTAAAGTGAATTCGAAATGGGTATTTAGGCATTGTGATAAAGAGAAGTTTGCTTTTTATTTAGCGGAGGAGGAAATATGGAGGAAAAATCGCAGAGAAAAAAAAAATCTTTCAAATAATTTTATTGAATGAATTAGAAAAGTGTATCCCCACATAATCAAGATTCTGAAGAAGATTAGGTAAGTTAGTATTTTTAATTATTTGAGGATATTATTTTTATGCATTGTTCTAAATGTAAGGTGGAAAGGAATTTGGTATTATTGGAAAATTGTTATTAGCAATTATTTAGTTTAAAGTAATTAGGATTGTAAGGTAATTTTATTAATTTAATGTATGTGCTCATTTATATTTTAAGTAGTGTTTTTGAATTTAATTATATTTTAATGAAATGATAGTTATTTTGTGAATTTTATGTTTGTAGGAATTTGGTATACGTTTTAGTTGAAGTAAACGTGCATGGAAATAATTTAAATATCTGACACTAAGTATTTGTAATGGTTGCGGCATGAATTCATTGGTGACGTTTATAATATAATAGATGATTTAGAGGTAAAAGTTTTTGGATATTTTATTTATTTTATATGTGGAAATGTTCATATTTGGAAAAAGGGTAAATACTTTTTCGCGATCAGGTAATTTCATATATGTTCTTTTTACCGGGTTTAAAGATTGAGAAAATTGTCATGTAATTTCGTGAAAATTTTTCTAATTTATGAGAAAAAAGCAGTGTACATGGATATAGTGAAGAGTGTGTGCAATGCCATTTTTGTGCAATTCTGGAATGTTTTTTTCAAGCAAAAATAAGTCGACGTGTGTACATGGTTTAGTGATATTTTAATTTAAAATGATAGTTATTTTGTGAATTTTATGTTTGTAGGAATTTGGTATACGTTTAAGTTGAAGTAAACGTGCATGGAAATAATTTAAATATTTGATACTAAGTATTTGTAATGCTTGCGGTATGAATTCGTTGGTGATTGTGTATAATGTAATAGAAAAATTTAGAGGTAAAAGTTTTTGGATATTTTATTATTTTATACGTGGAAATGTTTCATATTTGTAAAGGGTAAATACTTTTTCGCGATCAGGTAATTTCATATATGTTCTTTTTACCCGGGTTTAAAGATTGAGAAAATTGTCATGTATTTTCGTGAAATTTTGCTAATTTATTGAGAAAAAAGCAGTGCAAATGGATAGTGAAGAGTGTGCGCAATGCCATTTTTGTGCAATTCTGGGATTTTTTTAAGTAAAAATAAAGTCGGCGTGTACATGGTTTATGTGTATGTGTTATTTTGAAAAACGCGTAAGGAGTATGGTATTGTGCACTTTTTCCCAATTTTGCAGTGAATATTTGTCATGATTAAGCAGTTTTGTTTGATAAAATTTCTAGCATAAATGTAATTCGGTTAGTAGATTGTTGGAAGAAGTGTTCAGTAGATAAAAAGAAAAGAAACATGTCTTTACTTCATGAAGACAAAATGGCGGCGGGGAAAAAAAAATAGAGGGTTGCTGTAGGAGAGTTGGTTGCCAAATTTTCGACAAAAAATCACCAAGTTACCATAATGTAAAGATCAACCAAATCTCTTTCAGACAATTAAGAATTTCTGGCTAAAATATAGTAGCTGTACAATATTTGTACTGATGCTTAATACAGTCAAAAGTCTTTAATCTGGACTCGTTGGGACTTCGGCGATTCCAGCTTATTGGTTTTTCCAGATTATAGATCATCAGTTTAACTCTGGTAAGATGACATGCAGAAATTATAAAATTAAAAATATGAAAGCATAATTTCTGAAATAAAGAGTAATTATGATCTAAAGGGTATCAAAATTTACAAAAAAAATAAAGATTAATTATTTATTTGTTTACTTTATTAAACATTTCTTTCAAACGCGCGCATGCGTAAAGATGATGAACAACATTACGCATAGTCGAAAATTAGAAAATTGCAACCAAAAACTATTTGATGTGTATTCGGGATATTTATAATGACGAGGAAATTTGATTTTAAATCATATCAAAGATGGAGTTACATCGAGATGAAAATACTACATTTAGTAAACAATTATAAGCCAAATAAAATAAAAACATCTGCCCTGAAGATAAGGATAGTGCTGACAGATCAACTTCCAGTTCATTGCGTGCCGCGACGTCGCCTTCTCCCCCCCCTCAGAGCAGCGTGAAATTGATAAACAGATTTCGGAATGGTTAGAGAAACAAAGGATATGCCTTTATCCATTTTTTGCAGCAATTCCACTTTTTGTTTGATGGACATAGAAACATGCTTTCGCTTTGTAGATCCTGTGGCAGCTCCAGAATCGGAAATTCTTTTTGACATAATCGAAAGTTCAAGCTTACTTTTATAAAATTGCTCTAACAGTCTTCCAAAAATAATAAGCCGAATCCAGTTAGAAGATTAAGGAACAACGCAATCTGCAACATTAACTGAAATAGATAATTTTAGCTTAGCTTATAGCGTCCGTTATACATTAAACGCGCATGCGTAAACGTATTATGCGCACACATAAAGGTATTACGCGCATGCGTGACTGCATTATGTGTTGACGCATGCGCAGAAAGTTTGTACTTTTGAGGTCCGGATTATAGATCATTCCGGATTATGGACATCAGGATTAAAGACTTTTGATTGTGTATGAAAGTACCTTATCATGTAATTTTCAAACCACAATAATCTGAAACTATATTTTTGCATTTTAAAAATGAGTGTAATACCTGTGAGAGTTAACATGTATTTGTTTTTTATTTATTTTAGATTCCACCAACTATAACTAGAATTCTTTTAAATTATTTTAAATGGGATAAAGAGAAACTTTATGAAAGGTAAGTCTCAAAAGCATGCTTTTCATAATTATTTAGTGTAATGAAATTTTCCAATAGCAAGTTTTTATTATCAGTGAATGTGTATGTATACTTAATGTAGGATGTTAAAAAAAGGTGTCTACAGTCTTTACTTCTTAATTATTGATTGACCTTAACTGTGTATGCAGAATACAAATATGAAATTAGAATAAGGGCTATACATTTAATTTTTTGAGACTTTCATAAGTTTTTGAACTTATTTTTAAAATGAAGTACTTTCTGATAATTCACACCCTCATGGCAAAGCCACAAAAAACAGTACTGTTTTCATGACAAAGCAATGTGTCACTTAAATCGATACATGGCAACTCTCAGAGTTGCCAATAAGTATTTATCTCCTAACCCAGATTTTTGTGTAACACATGTTTATTTTGGCGAGTAAGCAGTACCCAGTTTGTGCAATTCTTTGATGATATTTTAAGCAAAAATAGGTTACTGTGTACATCGAGAAAATAAGAGTGCAAAAAAGAAACTCAAGGTGGGAAGGACAGTACAAAAAAAGAAACATTGGTATGTACATAGCACATGTCTGATTTGGCCGTCGCACAATGCTTAAGTTGTATGATGCCAAATTTGTGCAATTCTTCATTTTTTTTTTTTTTTTTTTTTTTTTTTTAAGTGGAGACAGATCCCTGTGTATATAGAGAGTAATGCAGAGAAGGGGAAAAATAGAATTTTTGGGGGAAAAGGGTAGGTGCTTTATTGTTGATGTTTCTTGGTTATGTAGTTCTGTAGGTTCATTGCTCTTGCCTGAAAGTGTTAATGTGTCGCCATTTTAAAAATGGCTGTGGCCTTTTGTACATTAACTTAGAGAATAATTAGTCACTTTCGTGTTTGCAATTTTTCAGTGGAGGTGTGGATAGTCAGAAAGTACCATGACTATATATTTTTAATTATTTTAAATCACACCTTTTATGTTTGTGTTGTTACTTAATATTATAAATGACATGCTTTGTATCACCTATAGCTTGTTTATTTTTCTAGATATTATGATGGTGATCCTGACAGGCTTTTTAAAGAAGCACGCATTATCAATCCACAAAATCCAGTTCATAGGAGTAGTAAAGTAATAGAATTTAATAATATATTTTTATTAATTATTAATATGAATAGAATGAAACAGATAGTTTGCTTGAACTTAATGCGTGTTTACAAAGAAATGCTTTTGTTAGATACAGGCAGCCTTAGCACATTTTTTGCGTGATTTTAATGCAGTGAAACTATTCATAATATTAAAAATATTGTATGTAGCACCACAGGTGCCTGAGGTATTGCTGAAGCTAGCACTCCAATTTTGAGGGAACACCTGGGGGTGGGACTGAGGGTATCTCACTTTTCTTCTTTTATCACTAACCTCATTTTCAAGGTTCATAGTCTTTACAAGTGCTTATAAGTCCTTATATTTGAAAATAAAATATAAAAGCCAATATAGGAGCTTACTTTTTCTCTAAAACACTTTTTTTTTTTTTTTTTTTTTTTTAAGTTCTTTTTTTTTTTTTGTTTTTTTTTTTTTTAATGAACGCACATTTTTTCTGTGTACCAAAACTGAAACTAAATATTTCTTCCTCATATGGTAAATCATACTCTCAGAAATAGCTTTAGCTCCATTGACATAAGCTTTACTGCGCATGAGTACAGACAGGTGCATGTCGTTCTATTGGTCAAAGAATTACAAAAGCAGTAGAAAATTTTTCGGTACATTCTGTATTCTTTTGCTCCCACCCAATATATACTACACACGTTTGAATTTCTATCAAGATTTTAATCATTTACATTCTTGTTCCGCGTGGTCAGTTCATATTCACATTTATTATGATCGGTATGCTTATATTATGAGCATATGTATGAATATTTTATAATAATATATTTGCAGTAACTGCTGAAGTATAGATAAACTTCAAAAATGGGTGTGTTTTACAAAGATTAGTTTTTTTAAGGAATAATATTCGGAATGGCGTAAGTAAAGTGAAAGTAATCAAATAGTCAAAATAATTTCTCTCTCTCTCTCTTTTTTTTTTCCAATACATTATACAGTACAGACATTGGGGGTTCCCTTTTTCCTCAAATCTCGAATATTGAAACCGTTACAGTTCGCAGCAAAGCAAGCAATGAACTTTTTTGGGGGGGTCACTTTCCAACCTGGATTGAATAGGACTAAAAGTTCTGTGGTCTACCAATCCAAGTGAAGAATGATTTTATTCCAGAAATTTAACATGCTTTGTTCAAAATTAGAATGAAAAACCCCCAGATTGGTAAATTTCTTTATTAATCAATATGAGTATGGCAGAGATATCATGCGGAGCACAAGGTGTCCTGCTAGTGATAAATATGCCACATGGGCACATGACGGTACCGGCAGCTGTTGATTCCGATTGCGTAATATCACATGCGAAAGAATTAAGGTGCACGTATTGCACAATAATGTTTGCTATATTTTGCAAAGAAAAAAAAGAGCTTTACTGTGCTTGCTAAGCAGATTATTTTTCAATTTCATAGGGCTATTTTTTATATGATGCACATATCGAAATGTCAAAAGCATTATGTAGCTAAAAAATCTAAAGAACGACTACAATGTACCCCCCTTCCTCTTTTACCAGTTATGCTCGACTATCTGAAATTTTCAGATATTCGGCAATTTTTGAGTATGCTGGTTAGTTAAGCTTTTACTGTTAAAGGATGACTGCATGAAGCAATTTCCTGTCTTCTGATTTCAGAAAAGTTCTTTTTTTTTTTACTTATTTTTACTTAAATTTCTTTGCTTTCAATATCTGTTATACAATGAAAATTTAGAAAATGTTTAGAATTTTGATTTAAGTTATTTAAATATTAATATGAGTGGAAAAATAAATTGTATTTATTTTAGGGGCCAAGCGATATAATAAATATAGCTTTTATTATTTATTTTTCTATTTTGAAGAAATTTATCATTTAAATCTTGTGATATTTAGTTTGCATAGTTTTTTTTTTTTTTTTTTTTTTTTTTTTTTCCTCTTTGTAAACTAAACTGTATTTAAAATTAAAAAAAAGAAAAAAAAAAGGAATGTAATTGTTGCCATGGTTGAGTAATGCTCATTCTCTCTTAATAAATACTGAATTTCTCATATGTTAAATTACAAGTCTAATTTTTCTTTTAAGGTTATGCAGTTGTGTATAATGTAATTAGACAGGTGCTTATTTTTTTCCTTAAAATGTGCTTGAAAAGTGCTTAAAAGTGTTTATTTTTTAACTAAAATGTGGCTATGAACCCTGATTTCCTTGACAAAAGGATATTTCTTAATTTTACTCTAGGTATTTTTGCCCTTTCTTCTTGTGTTGTTTTTCTTTGTCCATTATGTATCTTTGTTTGACATGTAAAACGTTCCCTTTTTAATGGTTCAGAAACACAATAATGTTAGGCTTGTGATTTCAAGAGATGATTGAGATTTTGCCGAAATATATGGAGAGGTTATCACTTTATGCAGTACTTCTTTTCGGTTTTTTTCTAGAAACTTTATTAATTCTAATTCTGCGTAAAGTGACAGCTGGAGTATGAGGGAAAGATTTCACTTTATGCTGATTTTCTGTTCAATTTTTTTTCATAGAAATTTATTCATATATATTGACACATAATTCATAGTTTCTTGCAGCTAAATTTTAATTTATTTTTTATTGTCTAGATAAAGAATGGAATGTCTTTATTTAAGTATGAGAATAGTTAACTCGTTATTTTGATGTGACTGACTGAATGACCTTTTACTGAAACTTTTTTAAATTCTTGAATCCAAGTTTTTAATGTCTTTTATGATAAGTAAATTGATTACTTTCTGTTACAGTCAGTGTCAGATATAGATATTCTTTAATTATTAGATGCAACAAATTTCCATATTCCACATAGTAAGTAGTTTTAATAAATTGTATATCAGATCTTCATTTTGTCTTTAGTCTTCAAAAACAACAATAAACATTACATTTCCATTTCCTCTTTTCAAAAATATAATTTTTGTTTTTTATTTTATTCACAATAAAAGCAGATATTTTAAAGCCTGATCACTTTGCGTGTATAGTAGGTTGGTTCTCTTTTAAAATCTTAAATTTAATTTTCTAAATAATCTTTGATGTCTATATACACTGGTTATCATAAATTAAGGAAAAATCACGATTACTGAAAAAATTACATGTAGAATTTAATGAAACTTACCCACAATATACAACACATAGTAAGGTATCAAATAACATAAAAAGAAATTACCAGACAAATATGGTAGTATAGAAATTAGCACATCTATAAAATGAACAAATCGAAGGTGTCAGTTTGCTATAGGAAAAGTACCTTCAATGTGGAATATGATCGCCTCTAGAAGCAATACAGCACATACGTGATGTGTGATGCTTTCAATTATGCGGTGTATCAGTTCCATAAAGCGGAGAGCCATTGCTTTGCAAAGCAGTTGCAAGCGTGACAGGTTCTGAGGGGGTGGATTGTGAGCAGCTAGACGTCTCCCTAAAGCATCCCAAACGTTCTCGATAGGATTCAAGTCTGGGGATCAATCTGACCACTCCATGCGCATAATTGTTTCCTGTTGAAGATAATCATCTACGATGCAATCCCTGTGTGGTCTTCTGTTGTCGTCCTGTAACAGGAAAGCATCTCCTATTTCCCGGCATATGGGTGCACATAAGCATCAAAGATGTCATCTCTATAAATTGAGCTTTCATGGTTCCCCAGTATAAAGCCATGGAGGTCTGTGCGTCCACCCAAAGAGATGCCACCCCAAACACAGACACTGCCCTTTCCGTATGCATTTCTTTCATGGGATGATAACGGGTTCTAGGTTCTCTCCATATCAAATAACACTTTCTAGACTAAACCTGGACTCATCCGTAAATAGAGCTGCCCTCTATTGATCAGGTGTTCAGTGGACATGTTGTCGTGCCCACTGAAAACGGTCCCTCCTATGGCGTGACGTGAGGAGAACACAAATGGCTGGTCGCCTCACATACAGATCACCTTCGTGAAGCCTTCTATGCACAGTTGACGTTGACACGAACCTTCTGGTGGCAGCAGCAAGGGAGGATCTAAGAAGAGTCGGAGTAGCAGTTCTATTCCTGCGTGTACATAATGTCAAAAATCTGTCATCGGTGCTCGTCGTAGCAGTTGGCCGTCCTTGGCTGAACGTCCTACATGCCGAATCTGTGGTTTGGAAATCCCCTCCAAGTCATGACCACAGAAGGACTCGCATTTAGCCTTGCTTCTGCTTGACCTTTATCCTGCCTCTAGATCTCCCCCAAATCGTAGTTCTGTGGGCTTGCTCTCAAACATGGACTTCTATTCTCCTTGCAGATGACGTATTACGAGTGCAGAGCCACTAATTTGCATAGTGGAGTTTTACTCAGCTACTCTTAACAACATATTCAAATGTTACAGGGTTTGGCTTATTTTTGAGGGAGTTATCGCTATTTTTGTGATTTTTCCTTAATTTATGATAACCAGTGTATTTTGGTAAACATTCACCATTCTTTTTTAAATAGAAAGTAATGATTGTTAATGTTTTCCTTTGTTGTGATAGTAATGTTTATTGTACTATTAAATGCTTTTATTCCAAGATTCTTGCACTGTTTTTCTATTGAAAAATGAGAAAATATTTTTCTCTGGTAAAATGTAGACGTTCTAACCAGAACGTTTTTTACATGAGGTTTACATGAAGTACAGGTCTGTCAGTCATCTTGAAAATATTGAAAATCATCTAGAATATCTGGAAAAGTCAGAGAAGCTGTAAAAAAGTATATATTCAGTATAAAGTCTGAGACCTGGAATCATTGAGATTTGGGAGATTTTCGGATTTTAGATCATCTGTTTAAATGTAGTGAGATGAAATGTATAAATTATAAATATTCTTTTTTTAAGAAAGAGATATATAATTTTTTTTTTTTTTTTTCTGAATTGCCACCACATAAAATTAAAATGTGACTTGATATATAGTAATATTTTCTGTAATAAATATTTTCTGAAATAGTAATATTTTCTGGTTTTAAAATATACTTCAGGTATTTGCCATTCTGTTAAATAACTGGTGATTGATGCATTGT